TGCAAATGGAAAGCAAAAGAAAGCTGGTATAGCTATATTTACATGAGAAAAAAGTAGACTTTAAAATAAAGATTGTAATAAAAGAAAAAGAGGGGGATTATATAATGATAAAGGGGTCAGTGCAACAAGAGGATATAACATTTGTAAATATTTATGCGTCCAGTATAGGGGCAACTAAACATTTAAAGCAAATATTAACAGATCTAAAGGGAGAAACCGACAACAATACAATTATAGCAGGGGGCTTTAATATCCCATTTACATCAATGCATTGATCATCCAGACAGAAATTCAGTGAGGAAACATCAACCTTACAGTACACATTAGACCACATAGTCTTAATATATATAAACAGAATATTTCATCCAAAAGCAGCAGAATTCACACTCTTCTCAAGTGCACATGGAACATTCTCCAGAATAGATGATATGTTAAGTCACAAAACAAGTCCCAATAAATATAAGATCAAAATCACATCAAGCAACTTTTCTAACCACAATGGTATGAAACTAGACATCAATTACAGGCATACCTTGGAGATATTGTGGGTTCAGTTCCAGATGACCGCAATAAAGCAAATATCACAATAAAGTGAGTCACATGAATTTTTGGTTTCCCAGTGCAAATGAAAGGTATGTTTACTCTATACTGTAGTCTGTTAAGTGTGCAATGGCATTATGTCTATGAGAACAATGTACATACCTTAATTAAAAAATACTTTGTTGTTTAAAAATGCTAACCGTTATCTGAGCCTACAGCAAACTGTAATCCTTTTGCTGGTGAAGGGCTTGAAATATTGCAAGAATTACCAAAATGTTACACAGAAACACAAAGTGAGAAAATGCCGTTGGAAAAATGATACCGATAGACTTGCTCAACACATGGTTGCTACAAACCTTCAATTTATAAAAAATGAAATATCTGCAAAGTGCAATAAAGCACAGTTCAATAAAACGAGGGATACCTGTACAGGAAGAAAACTGGAAAAATCACAAATATGTGAATATTAAACAATGTGCTACTGAACAGCCAATGGGTCAATGAATAAATCAAAGGAGAAATCACAAAATGCCTTGAGACAAATGAAAGTGGAAATATAATTTACCAAAATCTATGGGATGCAGCAAAAGCAGTTTCTAGAGGGAAGTTCATAGCCATACAGGTCTACCTCAAAAAAACCAAGAAAAATCTCAGAAAAACAATCCAATTTTACACCTAAAGGAACTAGAAAAAGAAGAAAAAACCAAGCCCAAAGTTAGTAGAAGAAAGGAAAATAAAGATCAGAGCAGAAATAAATGAAATAGACTTAAAAAAAGCATAGAAAAGGTCAATGAAACAATGGCTGGTTCTTTGAAAAGATAAACAGAGCTGACAAACTTTTAACTAGCTTCACCAAGAAAAGAAGAGAATGGGCTCAAATAAATAAAATCTAAAATGAAAGAGCAGTTACAACTGATACCACAGAAATACAAAGGATCATAAAAGACTACTGTGAACAATTATGTGCCAACGATTGGACAACCAAGAAGAAATGGATAAATTCCTAGAAACAGGGACTCTTCCAAGATGGAATCATGAAAAAAGAAAATTTGAATAAACTGATTACTAGTAACAGGATTGAATCAGTATGCAAAAACTTCCCGACAGACAAAAGTACAGGACCAGATGGCTTCACTGGTAAATTCTACCAAACACTTAAAGAAGATTTAATACCTATCCTTCTCAAACTCTTACAAAATATTGAAGAGTAGGGAATGCTTCCAAACTAATTTCACTAGGCCAGCATTTTCCTGATACCAAAACCAGACAAGGATGCCAGAAAAAAAAAGAAGAAAATTACAGGCGAATATCTCAGATAAACATAGATGAAAAAATCCTCAACAAAATATTAGCAAACCAAATTCAGCAACAGATTAAAATGATCATATACCATAATTAAGTGGGATTTATTCCAGGAATGCAAGAATGGTCAACATGCACAAATCAATCAACATGATATACCACATTAACAAAATGAAGGATAGAAATCATATCACCTCAAAACTGAAAAAGCATTTAAAAAAATTCAACATGCATTTATGATAAAAACTCAACAAAGTAGGTATAGAGAGAATGTACCTCAACATAATAAAGTCCATATATGACAAACCTGCAACTAACATCATACTCAACAGTGAAAAGCTGAAAGCTTTTCCTCTAAGATCAGGAACAATACAAGGATGCCCACTCTCGCCACTTTTATTCAACATAAATTGGAATTACTATCCAGAGCAGTTAGGCAAGGAAAAGAAATAAAAGGCATCCAAAATGGAAAGGAAGAAGTAAAGCTGTCAGTGTTTTCAGAAGACATGATTTCTTTTTTTTTCGGTATGCGGGCCTCTCACTGCTGTGGCTTCTCCCGTTGCAGAGCACAGGATCCGGACGCGCAGGCTCAGCGGCCATGGCTCATGGGCCCAGCCGCTCCGCGGCATGTGGGATCTTCCCAGACTGGGGCACGAACCCGTGTCCCCTGCATCGGCAGGCGGACTCTCAACCACTGTGCCACCAGGGAAGCCCCAGAAGACATGATTTTATACATAGAAAAGACTGGACGAAAACTGTTAGAACTGATAAATTCAGTAAAGTTACAGGGTACAATGTACAAAAATCTGTTGTGTTTCTATACACTAAAAACAAACTATCAGAAAGAGAAATTGGGAAAACAATCCCATTTACAATTCAATCAAAAAGAATAAAAGACCTAGGAATAAATTTAGCTGAGGAGGTGAAAAACTTGTACACTGAAAACTTGACATTGATGAAAGAAATCAAAGAAGCCACAAATAAATGGAAAGATATTCCGTGCTCATGGGTTGAAAGAATTAGTATTGTTAAAATGTCTGTCTTACCCAAAGTAATCTACAGATTCAGTGCAATCCCTATCAAAATCTGAATGGCATGTTTCAAATAGAACAAACAATCCTAAAATTTGTATGAACCCACAAGACCCCAAATAGCCAAAGCAGTCTTGAGAAAGAACAAAGCTGGTTATGTCAATTATTCTTCAAAAAAAAAAAAAGCGCCTTACTACACAAATATGTCTAATTGACCTTTGACAGAGGTGCAAATGGAGTTCAGTGGAGGACTGATAAGCTTTTCATTAAATCATGCAGTTGGACATCCATAAGCAAAACAAAATGAACCTCAAGCTAAACCTCATACCTCATACAAAAATTAACTCAAAATGGATCATGTACTTAAATGTAAAATATAAAACTATGAATCGTTTAGAAAAAAAAAAGGGGGAAATCTTTGGGATCTAAGGAAAGAGTTCTTAGATTAACACCAGAAGTGTGACCCATAAAACAGAAAACAAATTGAAGCTCATCAAAATAAAAAACTTCTGCTCTGCAAAAAATCCTATTAAGAGGATGAAAAGACTGAGGCAATATTTTGCAAGCCACATTCTAAGAAAGGACTAGTACCTAGAATATATGAGGAACTCTCAAACCTCAATCCTAGAGTCTGTCATACAGAGTGAAGTTAAGTCAGAAAGAGAAAAACAAATACCATGTGCTAACACATATATATGGAATCTAAAAGAAAAAAAAAACTGTTCTGAAGAACCTAGGGGCAGGACAGGAATAAAGATGCAGACGTAGAGAATGGACTTGAGGGCACAGGGAGGGGGAAGGGTAAGCTGGGATGAAATGAGAGAGTGCTACGGACTTATATATACTACCAAATGTAAAATAGATAGCGAGGGGGAAGGGTAAGCTGGGATGAAATGAGAGAGTGCTACGGACTTATATATACTACCAAATGTAAAATAGATAGCTAGTGGGAAGCAGCCGCATAGCACAGGGAGATCAGCTCCGTGCTTTGTGACCACCTAGAGGGGTGGGATAGGGAGGGTGGGAGGGAGACTGAAGAGGGAGGAGATATGGGGAAATATGTATATGTGTAGCTGATTCACTTTGTTATAAAGCGGAAACTAACACACCATTGTAAAGCAATTATACTCCAATAAAGATGTTAAAAGATAATAATAATAGAAAAAGAAAAAGAAATAAGTAAACAATCCGATTAGAAAATGGGCAAAAGACATGAACAGATTATTTCACCGAAAAGAATATATGGCTGGCAAGGAAACACACACAAAAGCACATGAAAAGATGTTCAACATCATTAAGCCATTAGGGAAATGCAAATTAAAACCACATGAGATATGACTACACACCTATCAGAATGACAAAAATAAAAATAACAACGCCACCAAATGCTTGTGGGGTTGTAATGAAACTGGATCACTCATACATTGCTGGTGGGAATATAAAATGCCACTCTGGAAGACAGGCGATTTCTCATAAAATGAAATATACAATTACCAGGAGACCCAGCAGTTGTAGCCTTGGACATTCATCTCAGAAACACATATGTTCAGTCAAAAACCTGTATGTGAATGTCCATAGCAGCTTTATTTGTAATAGCCCCAAACTGGAAATACTCAGATGTCCAGCAATAGGTGAATGATTAAACCAATTGTGGACACAGCACCCTTGGACTTGCCAGGGTGTCCCTGCCTATGGAGGACCCTTCTTGGGTTTAGGGGACATGTCCATCCATTGAGACAGGGGGTTGGAGTAGATGACTTTACACATCCCATTTCTGTACAACCATCTCTCTGATTCTTTCCACAAAGAAGCAACCCCCCTTCGCCTCGTCTGTTTTCTTGACTCATGGAAATGGGGAAAGTGGGGGCTTCCCACAGAGTGGGCTCCTCATAGATATGTGCAGAAGAAATGAAGCATTTTTCTTTAGAGGCTTCATGAAAATGCAGTCCATTACAGGCCATTGTCATGACTTTTAATCTGAGGTCTTTTCCTAGAGCAAAAAGTGTGTGGGCAGTTGGGGGAGAGAGAAGGAAGGAGGTAGGAGAAGAAGGAGGTAGGAGAAAAAGGAGGGAAGAGAAATACCATTGTTGAAACCTTTCTCTGTTATGTTTCCCTTTTTGGCAATAGATGTTTATTCAGATTTTTAAAATGTGCCTCCTTGACCTTCTTCCTAAAAAGAAGATTGATGATGAATTATACCAGAAGATTCTCTCAAAACAAGAAAATGTAAGTCTTCAACCTATATTTCAAAATAACTTAAAAATAGTTTCTTATGATATATAAAACACATTATAGTAAAGTATTTTTTATGTATAAAAAGTTTATTACAATATATACTTTTCAACACAATATGGTATATAAAAGTATAGCTATAAACATAAAACTAACAGTGTGTATTATTAAAATGTGGAAAAATATTAGAAGTAGAAAAAAAGAGAATGTTGGCCATACCCACTACTTAAAGAGAACCACTATTGATTCTATTTTCTGTACAAGTGTGGGGTATTTTAAAATATATAATTTGCTTATTGGTTATAACTCTTCCTACTACTTTGCATTCTTCTCGTTTCAGTCTTTTATACAAGCTTTATATTGTTTTATGTGCAGCAAAATGAGTCAGGGCTACCCTGGAGTCAGAGTGGTGGAGATTGATATCCTGGTCCCGTCTTTCACAAACTCTCAGAATCCTGGGTTGTTCCTTTGTGCAATGGGATAATAATTCCCATCCTGCAGGATTACAGAAAGAAGAAAATCTGTATGAAGCTCCTAGCAAAGTAACAACCAGACCCTGATTATATGATCGCTGCCATCATTCCCATTCCCACCAACACCACCACAATCATCATCAATGTCATTGCCATTATTATTGTTTTATTACCAACACAGTCGCCACCACCACTGTCGCCATCGCCATCGCCACCACCATCTTGATTATGGTCATCATTGTCGTAACCATTCTTATGATGGCCATCACCGCTGTTATCATTACCTTCTCATCCTCCTCATCACCGCCGCCACTCCCAACATTTCATCATCGCCACCATCATTGCTGCCATCACTCTTACTCCTCCCATTGCCACCATCGTCCTCATCTTCGTTACCGTGACCATCACCACCTCCACCGTCGTCCTGATCATCCTCACTTCTGTCCTCATTCCTTCCATCACCACCATTAGCCATCATTACCACCTCATCAGTCACCTCATGAGTCACCACGATAGTCATCATTCTCATCCTTATCACTGCAACCCTGAGATTTGGGGGACCGGGAGGAGGGAGAGCTTCTTCCTCACTCTTCTGGATTCCAAGGGGGAGGATTCATCACTCCGTCCCAGGGAGAAGGCAGTACGTCTTCATTTTTGTTAACGTCATGGTCATCGTGCTCAGTACCACCACTACTGTGATCCTCATTATCAGGCAGTGCACAGAGTGCCTTACACACATTATTTAATCTTCACAACAGCCCTGTGAGTGACCCTCATTCTTTTCGTTTATAGCTGAGGAAGTTGAGGCTCCACGAGTTTAAATGACTCTCCAATGACAAAAAGAATGATAACGGGGGTGATACTTGCAATGAATGTCATATGGAAAGAGTAAGAGCTTTGGTATCTGCAGGCCTGGGATCAAATCCCACCTCTACCACTTCCAGAGCATCTTAATTATGTCAGTGGCTACTGTTCAGTGGATGTAGTCTGGCCAAGGGCTTTAAATGCATACTTTCCTATAATATCGACAACAGCCTCAGAACTTCTAGATGAAGATGGGAAGTGCCCAGAAATGGCAGCTGCTTTGGAGAGAAGCAGCATAGTGCGTGCAGTTAGAAGAGTGGGGCTCTCGAGTCAGTGAGCCTAAGGGGCCTAGCCTAGCACATCACTTCCTCCTGGGAGACTTTGGACGAAATATCTCAACTTCCCATAGATACGATTCCTCCTCTGGAAAAGAACCCTCATTTCTCTCTCGTAGAGACGCTGTGAGAATTAGAAGTCACATATGGCTTCCGCTTGGATAATCAGTAATGGATTTGGACCCACACCAGTGTTGATTACATATCGGTGAACATAGGTCTAGAGAAAACAGAACAGCCCAGAAAACAAACCCTCCACACTCCAGGTTGGGGTTTGAAGGACTCCATACATAGGGTTCCCCTTTTCCTTCTAAGTTCTGAGTTCATTAAGAGAAAGCGTTGGGGAGACAGAGAAATGTCAGCTTCATCACTGAAAGGGGCCAGCTTGAAGACATAGCTTAGGTGCACAGCGGTCATGGCTTGCTTCCTAACACTGAATCCCAGGATTAGCTAAATTGCTTACCTAAATTGCTTACTGGCAAAGCTGGGCCACCTCAGGCCTCCCTACACAGAAGAGGGACCTTTGCTGCCCAGCTCACTCTGGGCTGAGGCCACACCAGAGCAGTGGCCTCCCCTGAATGGTCCATCCCAAAGAGGAAGAGGTTGGGCAAGCTAGGGGCTGTGCTCACTTCCTGCTTTGGAACCGCCAGTCAAATACATATCACTTCCTCCCTGGGGTGTACTAGGTAATCCTTCCCCATGGAAACCAGAGGAGTGGGGAGGAGACATTCCATCCCACACCCCAGATGTCATGACATGTTCCCGGACTTCACAAAGATAGGAAGATACTATTTCATTGTTTTTAAAATATGGCCTATTTTGGGGGGATGAGGGGAAAACTATAGAAGAAAATACGTAATCCATTATTCCCGAGGCCCTTTGATGATTTTTATCATCAGTCCTTCAGTAGGACAACACCCAAAGCATTTAATTATGGTTAAGAAATATTTTATGATAATGGGGTGAAAATAAAAGCATTTCTTCTCTAGAATTTAAGATACATTAGGTTTTTTCTGTATTTACCTTTTTCTTTTTTTCTCCAGGATTTGGAGGAATTAGAAAAGAGACTTCAGGTCAGACTGTCAAACACGGAGATGTTGGGTGCTGGTGACTCTGAATACATCACCCTGGCAGATGTAGAAAAGAAAGAGAGAGAATATTCTGAGCATCTAATAGCTAATGTATGTGATGGATTTTCTTTCCCATATAAAAAGCGTGGTTTCTGGGCCAGTTCATTTGGCGAGATTAAAGAGATGGTACCTAGAAGCATGTTTAATACTAGAATTCCCTGTTGCGTTCTGCTCTGGAGCCAGGGATCCAGTTTCTGAAGTTAGTGATAGAGAAGGTATAATTAAGGGGCCAGGATTTACTGAGGGAGTCTTTTTTTCCTCTTAATGAACTCTCCTTGTTTAAATTTTACATTGATCTTTTTATCATTCAAAGCAAAGATCACTCTAACCCTATGAGTCATTACCGCCCTGTGGCTTAGAGCAGATGCCAGCTGCTAACTTCTCAAACTCCAGGCATCACTCATAAAAGCATGTTTTAAATTCTAGAGAGGATGGCTTCCCTCAAACTCTCTTTTTTGCTTTGAGGTTCTACTACCTGCTGTTCATGTATTACAAATTAAACAAATATTTTCTTGGCACGCAGGTGTTGTGTTGGACTCTGGGAATTCAAAATGAACTTAGACCTGGCCCTGCCAGGGAGATGCCCGGGCCTGTCTGGTGGGGGGGACTGACAGGTGAACGGATGAGGACTTTGTGGGTTACAAGTGCCATGATAGATAGAAGTATGGGCAGACTGAGGTACAGTGGGGAGAACGATTCATTATACCCCAGGGTTTTGAAGGTCTTTGTAGAAGAAAGGGTCATCAAGAAGCTTTTGGAGAGAAGTGTGGATGGATGCTGTCCAGTGGGTGGGCAGAGAAGGGAGCCAGGGCTAGGAAGCAGGCTGAGCAGGATAAAGCCAGAGGTCTTCCCTGAGGGTTTTCGTCTCATGCCAAGGAGATGGGAGTCACTGAAGCAGCAGAGGGTGGCTTGGCCGTGTTTTAGAAGGACTGCCCAGGCTGCTGTGTGGAGGGTTGTTAGGGGCTTTGGGGCTAATCCAGTAGGAATTTCATGAAGGCAGTTGCAGTAGGGCTGGAGAGGTAAGAAAAAGTGGGAGAGCTGATAGGGTGGTGTCTAAGGAGGTGGTGGTGGGAAGAGGAGGGTATAGAGGATCAGGTCTACGGAAATAAGGATCCCAGAAGGAGAACAAGTTGGGAGGGAAGATGGTGAGTGTGGCTTGACATCCTGAGTTGGAGATGCCTGGGGATGGGGAGTCCCCACTAAGCTCAGGTAGGATCACATGGAGAGCGAGGATATTCTCGGGATGAGATGGCTAAGGGAGGGCACTCAGCCCGGATTCTGGTGGTGCATGGACTCCCCGAAGCCGTGGAATATCTTGTCCGTGTCTGCACATTTCAGGCAGAGGATTGAGTATGGACCTTGAAGAAGCAGGAGAAAGTCAGGTCTTGGATGCCAGGGGCATCACGAGTTTTTCAGAAGAGCGGAGTGGGCATCCTCGCTCTCTGCGATGGGAAGAGAAGAGGCGAAGCTGCTTGGATGTAGAGCTCTGGTTCCGGATGTGCAGGAATTCACGGATGATTGTCCACATTCTCTGATAGCAGTTGGAAAGGAAGTCGTCTGATGGGGCGAGAGGGGGCGAGAGCAGGGTGTGAATGTGAGGGAGGAGGTGGCCAGGGCAGATAAAGGGTTTGCTGAGCTGCCACGAGGCCCTTGAGACAGGACAGCAAACTTACGAAGAGGTGCTGGTTCGTGCAGGTGTGGGTTTTCTCCTGACCCTGCCCAGCAAGCAACATCCATCTCAACATCTGAGAGGTGGAACCAAGATGGAGAAAATCACAGCTGTGGGACTTGAAGGGACCTGAATCAAATATGCCTCTGCTTCTTGTTGCCTCTGTGACCCTTGACGAGTGACCTAATTTCCTGAGCCTGTTCCCTGTACCTCCGATACATATTTTATCTAGAAATAAAATGCGTGAAGCACGGAGCCTGGCTTGTAACCTGCATGCCGTAAAGAAAAGTTGCTATGACTATGGGCATCGTTGTTCTTAGAGTCTGGAAGGCTGCAGTGACAAAAATTTAGCCCCCAACATTCTAAACCACTTGGCGATTCCCTACTCTGCTCCTGATAAGATGGTGGAGAAAGGAAAAAGATTTGAAGGCAAAATGTTTTTATGGTCGTCGTCATCTCTGTCATATTGTTCTTTTATACTTTTAGGACAATAATCAATAATTAAATGGCCATTCATGCTTTTATTTCCAGGATGCGTTTAATCCCCTTTAAAGATCTGGAAGCTTCCAGGAGCGCATTGTCAAATTTCATGCATCCGCCCCACTCCCTACCCCACTGCCGGGCAGTCATTCAGCTGTTTGAGAGATTCATGGTGCTTGCCTTTCTTATCAGCAGCTCGTTGGTGTTTGCTGAAAAGCCACCTGCAAACTGACTGGCACCTACAAAGAGGAACCTCTGGAGAATGTGATTGTTGCCAAGATAACTTTCTCCAACTTGTAGAATTGTTCTAATCTCAGTTTGTGATAAGGGGTGAATAGTAATGCCCAAGCCTGAGCCGGACAGCTTTAAAGCTTTCTTAAATAAGTTTTCTCCCCCCACCTCTTGCATCTCATTCTCATTTCACAGATGGAAGCTTTCTGGAAACAGATGGAAAACATCCAGCACTTTCTGGTGGACCAATTTAAGTGTTCCAGCTCCAAAGCCCGACAGCTCATGATGACTCTGACAGAAAGAATGATTGCAGCTGAAGGGCTATTGCGTGATTCTCAGGATTTGCAGGCTCTGGTAACGCTGGAGGGGGCAGGGAGGGAACGTGATATTCAAACTAGAGGCATGGAATCCGGAAGCTTGGAGCACCGTAGGGGTCATTAAGTTCAACACTTGCAGAGTGTAGAAAGGGATATAGAGGCCAGAGAAAAGCAGTGTATCCATCCATCAGTCCATCATCTATCCATCCATCCATCTATCCATCAGTCATTTATCTGTCCGTCCATCCATCTAACCATTCCTTTAGTGGAGAGACTGGCCCGCCCCACGTCACTACAGTGTAGGGCACTGGTGGTTCTCAATCCTGGCTGCACGTTGAAGTTATCTGAGGAGGTTTAAGTAGTACTGATGCTTGGGTCCAAGATGGGTCCCCACCCCAAAGATTCTTAGTCTGGATTTTTATTTTTTTTATTTTTTTTTTTTGCGGTACGCGGGCCTCTCACTGTTGTGGCCTCTCCCATTGCGGAGCACAGGCTCCGGACGCGCAGGCCCAGCGGCCATGGCTCACGGGCCCAGCCGCTCCACGGCATGTGGGATCTTCCCGAACCGGGGCACGAACCCATGTCTCCTGCAACGGCAGGCAGACTCTCAACCACTGCGCCACCAGGGAAGCCCAGTCTGGATTTTTTAAGTTTCCAGGTGACCACAGTGAGTAGTCATAGTTGATGCTCACTGGTGTGGACGGAGCTTTGGTTAGCTCTCCTGGACGGCCCCATGTACCACCTAGGGGGCTTAAAATAATGCCCATGTCACGGGCCTCTTGCACAGAGATCCAATCTGATTGGTCTGAAGTGGAGGACCTGGCATTGCTGTTTTTAAAACTCCCCAAACAATTCTGATGTATAGCTAGGAATGCAAACCACTGGCGCAGAGGAATCCACAAATCCAAATCCGACTTTGAATCTAAGCTTAGCCACTTGAAGCTGTGTGATCTCGAAGAGGTTACTTAACCCATCTGAGCTTCAGTTACTGTTCTTAAAAAAGGTGGTCCCAGGAGTTGCTGCAGGCAGGGCCCGGGGAAATGCTCGGTCACTGTCGGGTTTTGTTGTGGAGGTTTCGGTCTAGCCCTGCTGTGTGCAAAGGCCAGGGCACCTACCCACCCATTTCCCCTTCCTCTGACCTTGAGAACTCATGAATTACATTTCAGACCTGTGCACCTGCCCAGGGCACTCCTGACTCAGAAACCTGCAGCAGCCGCCCTGCCCTCAGCTCAGAGACTCAGCTCCTCAGACGTGAGGAGAAGGCGCTGCTGAGTGGAGCGGTCCCTGCTGCTTCTGCACAAACTGCTCTGCTTCTCAAAGTGTGGTCCGCAGACCGGCAGCATCAGCGTCACCTGAGAGCTGGTTAGAAATGCAGAATCTCGTCCCCACTCCTGAATCAGGATCTGCATTTTTAACAAATTCCCAGGTGCACACAGCTGTTTGAGAACTTTCTTTGCTTTTGCTTTTGCTTGTCACGTACAAGCAAAGTTTCCTTTCCCTCCTCCGCACTGCTGAAAGATAGACACACAGATATTTCATTCCCGAAGAGCAGAGGAGCCAGCTAAGCGACTCACCTAGGACTCCCATGTTGCCTAATGATATCGCTCAGCCTGTGCCCCAGGCTTCCTGGTTTGCCATCCAAGGCCCTTTGAATTGGATTTTGGTTTGATAAGGCTGCTGATACGAATGCTTATCAAAGAGAAGGATCTTTTTCCTTTTATTCTTTTTTTCTTTGTATTTAATTATTGCTCCATCAGCAGGATATTGATGTAGAAGAAAAACGTATCCTTAGCTGACTCTGGCCCGAGTGTTAGCCGGTCACTTCCACATAGGAAGAAGGGAAATAATTTTCTCCAGGTTATCTGTAGGCCTTTCCTTCTGTCAGCATTTCATGAGCACCTGCTGTGTGCCACATCCTGTTACAGGAACAGTGTTGCAGACTGGAGCTAGAAACCTGAGCTCATCCCACAGTTGCCTTTTATTAGCTGTATGACGTTGAACAGGTTACTTAACCTCTGTGACTCAGTTTCATCATCTGTAAAATGGGAATCTGAATAGCATCAGCTCTGAGAGTGTTAGAAAGTGGACGACATGTAAGACCTTTAGAACAGAGCCTGGCCCAGGGGAAGTGCTCAGTATGTGATACGGATTAGACAATGGCAGGCCAAGTGTCAGCAAACAAAATAGCCGTAAACAAGTCATCGTAATGATGTGTGGAAAGAGCTACAGTCTGTGTTTGTACAGAGAGGGACGGGTTGGCTCTGCCTGTATGTCAGAGTATGTTGTTGATAAACTCCAGAAGAATTCAAATTCTCAGCCTGGAGACATCTGAGAACTCTGGCCTGGGCAGTCGGAATGTGTCGCATGGAGTTGCTGAATATCAGAACTGGAAGAGCCCTGGAAAGGGCCCCAGAGGTCATCAGAATCAGCTTCTAGGGATGCTCGAGAGAAAGAGGATGGTAGGAGGGATGTGGGGACCTGCTGTACATAATTATGACGACAGCTTGCATTCATGAGCACCTACTGTCTTCTGGTTGCTATTTTAAGTGCTTTAACCTATTTTAACTTATTTAATGCTCACATCCACTCTGTAAGTCAGGCGTAGGTGAGGACACTGTGCCCAAGGTCATGCAGGTCTGGAGCCAAGTTTGAGCCCGGGCACGTCTGAGGACTGGCTACAGCTCTCAGAGCCAGCAGTGGCCCCCTCGCCTCCCGCGCAAGTCCCTTTACTCCTCCCACCTTCCATCTGATGCCCCTCTGCTCATGCTTGCCTCTCGACTCTACTCCCGTCTTTCCTTGAATATAAATCCAGAGGCTGAGCTGCCACTCTCCAGCCGGGTGGAGTGACCGTGATGCCTTAGAGGTGGCTGCTCTGGGCCCTGGGCACTGTCCCCCACGCCCTGAGCCTCGCTGGATCCCTTGCCGTCCACACCTGCACCGAGCGCTTATCCTCTTGCGCCCTCTAGCGGTCATGGGCCCGCTGACGACCGTCGGGCTCATATAGTTGGCGGAGAGGAAGGTTCAGAGCCGCTGTCCCTGGGCTATTTGGGTGGCGTTCCAGAATAAACCTCAGTGCTCTTGTCCATAACTGGGGGATCATTGTCCTTGCCCTGTTCACACGTTGCTCAAACACAGACCAATGCAGTTCAGCAAACAGTGAGCCCCAGGGCTGGTTACCGGGTGTTGCAGGTATGGCCGCTGTCTCAAGGGCTCTCAGTCCAGCCTGGGACTGTCCCTATGCTTAGACAGAGGCACAGGAGCAGCAGAGATGGGAGGAGGGGGCCGTGGAGGTGGAGGGGGTCAGGGAAGGTGCCACACAGCACGTAAGGACGAGCAGGACCTGGCCAGGCAGGGAAGTGAGAGGAGGCCGGGAGGGTGTTCCAGGTGGAGGCCCGTGTGTGCAAAGGCCGGGTGTGCTGGGCAGCCAGGAGCAAGGAGGTGTGTGGGACGAGGCTGGAGACTCAGCCAGGCTTGGTCCTGAAGGGCCTCGTGCACCGTGCCCAGGAATTTAGACTTGGTTTGAAGGCAGTGACTGCAGGGTTTGGGCCCCAGGATGGCAGAGCCACGTTTGCACCTCAGAAAGGCCCCCTGCCTGCCGTGCGGGGCGGGGCGGGGCGGGGTGGAGCGGAGCGGGCAGGTGGGAGACTGGCAGAGCAGGGACGGCCCTGGGCAGTAGCCCAGGGCGGAAGTGACCTGGGCCTGAGCTGGCCGTGGCTCTGGGCCAGCTGGAAGGAGATGGAGCGGAGGGGTGTGAAGGAGGCAAGGGTGCCGGCATGGTGGGGAAGAAGGGCGGAGGCGAACTCAGGCCCCGTGCCGGGGGTCCTGGGGGCCCACCCCTAGGTGGGAAAGGTGTCCTTCTGAGGCACAGGGCATGCAGCTTTAACGTGGTGCACGTGCTCTCATTCTACAAGGTTCCTGGAGCGGCTGCTCTCTGAGATGCGAGCACAGGAGACGCAGACCTGCAGGGTCCGCCCCTGCCTCTGGTGGACATGTCCTCCATGGGGGAGGCGTCCTGTCCGAGAGCCGTGTTCTAAGTGAAGGACAGCATGGTAGGGCAGGCAGGCCTCTTCTAAAGTCTGATGGCTGGGGTCCCCCTTCCAGGTCAGGCTTACCCGGCAAATCTATTTAATCCCCAGCACTCAGGTTCCCGGAGGCTCGAAAGCGAAAAGTCCCGCGACCTTTATTGTTTCTCTAATGTTTCTCCTCCTGGGCTGTGGAGGCCCGAGGCCCCGTCGACTGGAGAGGGATGACAATGGGAAAGGGGAACTTCCCTCTTTGGTCATGTGCATTTATTAAATCCCTCCCCAGAAGCGTGGCCCACTCACCGAGTACCCAGCGCTTTCCTTGTGTTATGCGGCGTCAGCCTCACCACGTCCCCGTGCGGGACCATTTTGTCCCCATCTGAGGCACACACACAAGAAGCTCGTGAGAGCAGTTTGGCCTGTGCTCTGCTCCTAGGGAGGTGGGGCCCCAGGACCAAGCCTGTGACTGTTTACAGACCCTCATGGCCAAGTACTGACCCAGGGCGTTCCACCCCCTTGTCGCCTGTGTTTCTCTTCTTAGGACACCCTGGAGAGGACAATGGGGCGGGCACACGTGGCCAAAACAATTGAGTTCCTGAAGCTGCAGATCCGGGAGGAGACCAGATGCCGCCTGGCCGCCATCTCCCACAGCCTGGAGCTGCTGACCGTCGAGGGGAAGCTGTCGGGGCGGCAGAGGGAGGAGTTGCTGACCCAGCAGCACAAGGCCTTCTGGGAGGAGGCGGAGCGCTTCGGCAGGGGTGAGCGAGTGGGCCAAGCCCGGGTGCCCGGCACCCCGTGTGTGCTGCAGGCCGTGTGGGCCAGGGTTGGTGGCGGCACTCGCAGGTGTCAGGAGCAGCTCCCATGAGGCTAGCACAGGCTGCCATCCCAGGTCACCTCCTAGGGTCCGGGATTGCCTGTTGCACATCGCCATCAGTGATTCAGGCTGCCAGAGAAGCACCCGGAACATGCAGAGGGCGAAGGAGGCGGGAACGCCCAGAAGCCCTGCATGTGGCACGGGGCCCGGCTCAGCTGCTGGTGGGTGAGCGTGGACAGGGGTCAGTCACGTGGGGAAGGAGAGGGAACCCAACGTGGCTGTTTCCCACACGTGTTACTGCTCCCGGGCCGACCCTGGGAGATGGGCAGATCAGGGCTCAAGACATCAAGGGCATCTGGGAATTAGTCCAGGTCACACCGCTGGTGGGACCCGCAAGAGGAAACCCAGGTGTTTCACCTGCAGGAGGTGACCACATGGAAAACTTTCTGTTGGCTGGAACTTTGGACCATGTAGAATCTGAATGCATCTGGCCTTGGGGGTCACCACACACAGTGGTCTGGGCTTTATCAGTGGGAAGCGAGTGGCTGGGATGGGATGGTGAAGCAGCCCCCTAGGTGGGGCTCTGTTGAACTTGGACAAGATGGGGGAGACAAGGAGACAGTCAGGGGTGGAGGGAGGACCCTAGGCAGAGGGAGGACTCCGGTCTCTCCTGGCCACCTGGCCACACTCTTTTCTTTGGTGCTAGAGGCTAAACAGACTCTCAGGTCAAACCTAAGGAAGTGTGCCTGCATTAGGGCAAGTGCAGAAGGAGGTATGACGTGTGTGTGTGGCGGTGGGGATGGTGTGAGATGCTGAAACCCACGCTTCCAAGGACTGCAGACTCCTCGTCGCCAGGCCCTCACTTCAACAGCTTCTTTGCTCAGCATCTCCTCCAAAACCCAAGTGGACAGAACCTGACCAACCTCGTCCTTGGCTCTACTCCCAGGAGCCTTCTCTGGGGTCCCACGCTGCGTGTGCCCCCTCTTCCTCCCACCCCCGCCCCATCCTGCCACCGCCCCGGCCCTCATGCAGCATAATTTCTTCTCCTCCTGCATTCCATGAACATCTTGAGAGCTGGGCTGGGTCCTGCTCACTGGTAGACCCCAGTTCCCGGCCCTGTACTTGGCACACTGCTGGGGCCGAATGACGCAGGTGGGCTGAAGGGTGGTTTTAGGCCCCGCCCCTCTCTCCCCAAGTTCACCTTCCCCTGCCACAGGGGGTCTTGCCCTTGGGTTCACCCTGCTTCTCTCCTGCTGATCTAATAACTCACCCTGGCAGTTTTTGAATCTCGACTCCAGTCTGACGTGTCACTGTCTTCCTGAAGACTCAGGCTCTCTGTACCCTGTGTCGCCTGTCCCTCCCTCTGCCACCTACCCCTCCCTCACACTCTTTTCTCCGGGAAAATACCCCTTTGTTTGCTTCTTGGTCAGGTTGGCGGGCCGCCCTGCACAGCAATTACATGAAACCTCTTATGTTGCTCTGAGTCCTGGACCCCAGGGGGAGGGCCCTGAATGATAAAACCAGAATAAAAAGGGGATTTGCCCCAAAGTTTCTGACCCTCCACGTGCTGGCAGAAGCAGCCAGTGGAGGTTTCGCCGGGGGAGCAACCTTGTTTTATTTCAATTTCAGAGTTTGTCCAGCGAGGCAGAGACCTGGTCAAAGCCTCACTGGTTCACCAGGCAGAGGGGATGGCAAGGCTCACGCTGGCCCAGCAAAAGGAACAGAGGAGCTTCCTGGCCACGGCACCGCAGACCGCCGACCCCGAGGAGTTCCTCCAGGTGACCTGCTCCTGACTCACTCCCACGTCCGCGGGCACAGCCGTCCCAGGGAGCCACGCGGGTTGATCAGGGTGGCAGGAGGGGACTCGGCCCCCTGCTACTGCGCTTGGGTAGCCAGAGGCCTTGGCATCTGCCAGACGGGAGGTCTCTCCTCGCCTCCCACCTGTCAGCCCAATGACCTTAGCCAGCTCCCTTGGACTCTGCATCCCTAGCTTCCTGGTCTGTAAGCCAGTGGCTCGAGCAGCACCACCCTCACTGGGACGATGGAAAGACGGTGGGAGGGGCCGTGGAGAGGGCTTCACACAGATGGCGCAGGGCAAGGGCCCAACCTGCGATGCAGACCAGCGTGCGATGTCCCCAGAGGGGACAGGCGTGTCCTGCATGTAAGGCAGGCTGTCACACAGGGATGGGCCCCCTCGCTGGGTCAGGTGGCAAGTCAGGGGAGGACCCTGCATGGGGGGATGAGCAGGCAGGACCAGCGAGGTGGCCAAGGTAGCCAACGCTCGTGGTCTTGACTGGAAAAAAGACAAGGAGACCGGCTGGAGGGCAGGAAGCAAGGTGTCACCCTGCTTGAGGGATAGCAAGTGAGCTGGCGCCAGCACAGGCTGGAAGGACCAGGGCTTGCAGTTCGCAGAGAGAGAGCAGGACTCTGCCTCAGTGTTTCCCTGTTGGTGGAGGGGGGGCGGGGATAGGCAGGGCTGCTTGTCAGTGGCCGTCCCCCAGGGTTGGTAAGCATTTGGGTGCTGAGGCAGCAGGACCTGGGTTTGAATGCTGACTCTGCCGCTGTGTCTGAGTGACCTTGCTAACCCTCTGGCTTCCTCATCTGTGCAATGGGAATCGTAGCACCCACCTTGCCGGGTGGTTAAGACTCAGCCAGACCAGTAAGGGGCAGCCACGGCCTGACTGTTTCTCTGGGTCCTTCTCTCTTCGCTAGCATTTGCTTGTCTCAGCTCTGCCGAGGGGATGGCAGGACTGTAGCTGGGTCCAGGCTCAGGCCAGAGCCCAGACACATGCCCTCCTTGGGGGCCGGCATGGTGGCGGCAGCTATACCCGAGTGAGAAGCCAGCGGCCAGAACAGAGGAGAGGTCTTCACGTCCCTGGTTCCCTGGTCCAGTGCCTTTCCCCACCCACAGAGCCTCCTCCCAGGGCCCACGCCTGGGGTTTCTGGGGTTTGTCATACCGTGGGGTGGGGGGCTGTTTCTGTCTTTAAGAAGATCCATTTGAAATGAGAGTGAAAAGATACGATTATACAGCAGTTTGTTACTCTGAGATCTCTAGGCCCTTCTCTCTGACATCACATTGCTCAGTGCAAGTCCTGAGTGCGGAGACGGTGACAGCGTCAGCTCTGCAACCCAGGACTTCAGCACAGCCAGGACCTGGTGCTCAGGAAACCTGGTGCTCAGGAAACATGCTGGTGCTCAGGAAACATGGGACCAAGGAGGGAAGGGTTGAGCGCATGCATGCATGCATGCATGAAGGAATGAGGGAATAACTGAATGAACAAATGAATCAATGAATGATGGATGGAAGAACAAAGGAACACATAATTGAATGAACAAAGAAATTAATGAAGAACAAACAAATGAAAGAAAAGTCAAACGAATGAAGGAAAGAATGAATGAACACGTGAACGAATGGATGGATGGATGGATGATGGATACAAAAGAACAAATAATTGAATGAATGAACAAACAACAAAGAAGTGATTGAATGAACAGGGAACTGATGGATGAGCACAGACTTTGGCACCACGTGCAGCCCCTCCCTCTCAGCTCCCCTCCCACTCTGCCCCCACCAAGGCCAGAGGGTTCTAACTGCCTGGTCTCTGTTGCTGTAGCTCCTTGAGCTGGGACTGTGTTGGCCCCCCACCTTCCTTCCAGGGACCCCTCCTTGTTCTTCAAGACTCAGCTTACTCATTTCCCCCATGGGGCCTCTTCCCCTACAGCTGCCCCCTAAGAGGAGTCCACCCTCTGTGGTTTCACCTTGCGGTGCCTTCTGACTGTGTCTGGGGCACCTGGCGCACGCCTCCCTGTCACTCTGCTGGGCTCCTTGAGGTCCATTGGTCAGAGCGGAGCCTGGCTGGCCACTGACCACACTGACCTCCAGTGGCCCTGCTTGGCCTCGGGCTCCGCTGGGTGGGCCTCCCAGGGCCTGGATGGTGGTCCCCAGCAACTGAAATCAGAAAATGATGTCTGGGTGGCCAGGAGAGAAGGGTGACAGGGGTGCTGGTCGCACCTTCTCCTGCTAGGTACACAGACAGAATCACAGTCTGTGGTTTTCCTGGAGGTCAGATTCACTGGTCCCGGCCTCAGCCACGACTCACAAGCCATGAAGGTCACATACATCCCTGTGCCTCAGTTTCCTTGTGTATAAGTTGGGGTGAACATCCTTCCAACCTGAGAGGCGGGGTCCGTTGAGGTTTTTCTGGGAAGAACATCAGCATTTTCCTTCCAGATTCAGCTCCTGTTTTACTCACAGGGTTTTCACGAGGTCCTGGAGAGGCAAAGACTGAGTCGGAGTGACCTGGAGGAAGAGGAGAATGTCAGAGCCACCAAGGCCGTGGCCGCGCTCTGCCAGGTATGTGGTTTCCAAGTGGGACTGGCAGGAAAACCTCAGGATCTGGGCATGTGTGAGAACCTCACGTCCTCCCGGGCTGGGGACTCCGAGACCCACTTTGGCAGAAACCAGGGAGGGAGGTTGGCCCAGGTCACATCTGAGGCCCCTTCCATTTCTGAGGTGCTCGGGACCCTCACCTCCAAATGTCCCTAGAGGCAAAGGTCTTTGGAAGTCAGCTCACCCAGGATGAAAATAGGCCAGCATTTGTGGGCGTCATGAGTGTAGAGCGGTGATGAGGAAGGGAGGGTTGGGCTTGAAACGGAGACCTGAGTTCCAGTGCTGGTGCCACCTCTTTCTCCCTGGGCAACCTCGTGCAGCTCTGGAATGATGGCTGGCTTTGAGATAACAGGAAGAGAGCACCCGAGCCCTCCAAAGCCAGAGGGGCTCCCGGGATATGGCAGTGACCAAGACAGGCAGAGCTCCTTGCCCCGGGCAGGACACAGAGCTGCTGGGAAGGTGGAATGTGGCCCCGGTCAAGAAGGAAGGTCACAAGTGCCACCGTGGTGGGGAGCACCCTGGAGAAGGTTCACCTGGACCCAGAGTGCTTGTGTCTGCGTCCTGGCTCTCCTCCCTCCTCGCTGTGTGGCCTCCAGAACATTACTTGGCCTCTCTAGTTCTCAGTTTGCCCATCTGTGAAATGGGGCCAGTGATGCCCATCTTCATGGTGGTGGTGTGAACACCAAATGCCCGTGAGGCCCTTGGACAGCAGCTTGCACCTGGGACATGCCCAGTCCAAATTGGCTGCCCTTACAACATCCCTGCTGACGGGTGCAAAGAGGAGGGTTGAGAGACGTAGGGGTGAAGGTGAGGTCAAGGACGGCCGTCCACTGGAGGTGATGCCTGAGATGGGCTTTGAATCAGGAGGTGAGCTCCAAGTGGACCAGGAGTCAGGGGGCAGCCCAGACAGGACATAAGGAAGGACAGGGAGTGCAGCCCCTCGTCATGATGGCGACTGTGCAGGGTTCAATGGTGTCTGTGAGTTTTCAGAGGCTGCCATATCAAAGTACCCCAGCCTGTGCCTTAAACACAGACATTTATTTTCTCACTGCTCTGGAGGCTGGAAGTCCAAGATCAAGGTATCATCTAGGTTGGGTTCTAGTGAGGCCTCTCTTCCTGGCTTGGAGATGGCTGCCTTCTCACTGTGTCCTCGCATGGCAGAGAGAGAGCTTAGGTGTCTCTTCCTCTTACAAGGACACCAGTCCTATCAGGTTAGGACCTCACCCTGTGACCTTTCTTAAGCTTCATTATCTCCTTAAAGGCCCTATCTCCAGATATAGTCACATTGGGGGTTAGGGATTTAGCATATGAATTTTGGAGGGACATAATTCAGTCCATAATAGTGTACCTCAAATTTCATGTCCACCAGGAACCTCAGAATGTGAACTTATGTGGAAATAGGGGGGCTTTGCAGATGTGATTAGTTAAGAAGAGATCATTCTGGATTAGCGTGGGCCCTAAATCTAATGACTGGTGTCCTTATGAGAAAGTCATTGTGGAGACAGACACACAGGTAGGTGGCCGTGTGAAGACAGGCAGAGACTGGAGTGATGTGGCCACAAGCCAAGGAACACCTGGGGCCTCCAGAAGCTGGAAGGGGCAGGAAGTATCCCCCCAGAGCCTCCAGAGGTAGCTGACACCTTGATTTCTGATTTCTGGCCTCTATAGCTGTGAGAGAATAGACTTCTCTAGTCTTGGCTACCCAGGAAACTGATACCGGAGCCAGTCTTGTTCAGAGCCAGCCACTGTTGTAAGTGCTTTCTGAGTATTTGATCATTTTATCTTCATGAGAATCCTGTGAGGCAGAAACTGCATTTTCCTTCCTTCACAGATAAGGAGCCAGGGAGGATTTTCTTGAGAAAAGTGCAGGGTGGGATTCAACTTGTCAAAGCCCCAGGCTCCCAGGCAGGAAAGGAACGCCACCATGCCTGGGGGGAGTCAGGACTCAAATCCCTGGGTTGGGAATGAGCACATTGAATTCCAGTCCCCTTCTGGGCACTAACATGCTGTGTGACCTTGAATTGGTTACATAATCTCTCTGTGCTGGCCCAACCATCCTGCTCAAGTCCTACAGCCAACAAGCAGAGAGATGGGATCCAAAGTAAGTCTCTCTAACCTCAGTGCTGATGTCCTCGCCGTGACCCATGCTGCTGAGCCTGGGCTGTGAATACCGCAGTGAGGACAGGCTCTGGACTCAGATGGCCTGGGGTCCAGTCCCAGCCCAGCCATTGACCAGCTGTGTGGTCGGCAGCAGGTTATCTAACTTGCACCTCAATTTCCTCTGATGCACAGCAGAGTCTGAGGACCGCTGCCTTGGGGGGATGGGGTGAGAGTCCAATGGACTTAAGACTCATGGGCAGGTGCCATTCGTGATGCGCCCACCTGAGCTCTTGTCCAGCAGGGGACAGTGTGTCCAGCAGGCTGACACTTCCTCTTTTGAGCTGCAGTTAGAATCTAAAGTCTTGGTCGACTAAATGCCACTTTCGTCCTCCACAAGGCAAGGATAAAACACTGAGCACTGCTACAGGGAGGAAACACATGTGGAAGTGCCGGGCCGGTCTCAGTGGGTGGTAGTGAACACACATCATTTTCAGTAAAGACTTGATGATGCTGATGTGGCCACAGCCTCATGCCCCAGCAACGTCCTTAGGGTATTGTACACTTGGCTTACCGTTGCCAGCCCATTGAAGTTTGGGCCGAGGAAGTAAAGACACCCTTGTTTCTAGCATCAGGAGAGCCCAGCAGGTGTGAGTGAGGGCTGATGGCTGCTGGAGTCTCTGTCTTGGAAGCAGGCACTTGGAAATGCCCTGCATGAGGAGGGGTCAGTGGCAAGGTGAAGGGGGGCCAGCAGTTCTGTGCATCTGTGCAGGTCCTTCTGAAAGAAATGGCCCAAGGCCTGTGCCAGCTTCTCTCCCAGAGTCAGTGCAGAGCTGTTTCCTATGATTCACGTCGTCATTGCACAACAGGCCCCTCTGGTACCAGATGACTTTGGTTTATTTTACATCCCTTAATTGTGGAAATCGTTGCCTTGGGTATTGGAAACTGCTTTATCTGATATTTCCAAAAGGTGGAGGTTGAAATCCTCTGGTGTGGTGGAAAGAAGCCAATTGGAAGATTGGAATGCTTGGCGAGGACATTCCCGGGTGGGCGCCCAACATTCCTGGGTGGGCGACCTTGGGCAAGAGCCTTAACTGCTCCAAGCCCATTTCCTTATCTGCGAGATGGAGACAGAGAGCCTGGTGACCATTATGGTGGCGCAGGAGGGCAGGGCCGAGGGCCTCACATGGCAGGTGCTCAGTTAGCACCTTCCCTTCTGCCCCATCACTGAGCGTGTTGATCAGGAAGCCTTGAGCCCAGGGGTGGTGAGCATGAATCTGGACCCGGGGCCTGGGGGAGAGTGTGGCTTCCTCGCCGACCAGCTGTAAGCTTGCGAGCCTGTTGGTTCATTCATTCAATGAATATTATCGAGCACTGCTTTGTGCAACCCACAGTCTCAGCACCGGGGCCTCAGCAGTGAACCAAACAGATAAAGTGCTTATTTTTGTGGAGCTGGAGAGACAGCAGCACATGTGGGGTTCCAGCAGCCGCGGCAGCAAGGAGGCCAGTGTGGCAGCTCTGGGGGAAGGGGAGACAGGTACAGGCTAAGGTCAGAGTCTTGTAGGGCCTTGCAGTCCATCCGAAGACGTTTGCATTGACTTCTGAGGGAGATGGGAAATTGCCGGCATGTTTTGAGTAGGGAAATGACTTGCCTTATGTTCCCAAGGATCCCTCTGGATTCTGTATGGCGGATGGACTGTAGGGGGCAAAAGTGGAAGCAGGGAGGCCTGGGGAGGCATCGCAGTGGTCCAGGCAAGAGATGCTGGGGGCCTGGGCCAGGATGGTGCGGGTGAGGATGGTGAGGAGGCCTGGGGTTGGGGTCTGTTTTGATGGTCAGTATCTGGGTCTCCTCTTAAAATGGGGATGGCCACTATCCGGGTCTTCATATGGCTATTCAGAGGTTTGAATAAGTTCACACATGCGAAGCATGTAGAAGAGTGTGAGGCCCACAGTGAACACTTAAATCTGTTATCATGGTCCTGGTTAGTATTACTCACCGTCTAAGCAGGTGTGTCTGCACAGAATACACTCATGAGGTAACCTGCCTTACAGTCTGGCTGGCTCCTTCCCAGACCTGGTCACACAGAGGCATAATTCCTCCCTTTCTTTGGGCACTGATCATGATATTGTAGGCACGGCGGTTGAGAGATAAATTTGATCACCACCTAACGGTTCTCAGGCTGCAGAGAAAAGTGCATTTTTCTAAATTCCCACTGTCTCTTGGCCTCTAAACAAGCAGTGAATTCTCATTTTGACTGAGATGGATGCCACTAAATGACACGTCTCGGTGCCTTGTAGAGAGATTCCTGAAATGAGCCCAGAGTCTTCCTGATAATGACAGGCGCAGAGCTGAGTTTGCCACTGTTGCATCACAGGGTGCCCTGGAGACCTGCTTGTTTATTTGTTCATTTCTGACTGTCCTCCCCCTACTGTTTCTCCTGAAGGGCTCCTGGGGGAGTAGGGTGATAACAGCCCTGCCAAGGTCAGCCGTCTCAGCTTCAGAGTCTCATGGGAAGTTAGGGCTGAGGAAAATAAGAGAAAAAGTGAAGCTCTGTCCTCAAAGAAGACAGGAATAATAATGATAAGCACTCATGAAGTGTTTGGGAGTAGACCACCCTTGCTTCTGATACCAAATGCAAGTCCAGAGGTCCCCAAGACCACCCTCAGGTTCTTCAGTTCTCTAGAAGGACTCATACTGAAAACTGTTCTGCTCACGGTTATGGTTTATTACAGCAAAAGGATACAGATTTAAGTCAGCCAAGAGAAGAGGCACATGGGCAGAGTCTAAAGTTCTAAACACAAAGCTCCCAGTTATCCTGTCCTGGTGGAGTCATGGACAGTGCTAACTTCTCCTGGGAACGATGTGT